GAGCCCAGTTTATAGGCTACCTCTGGTTCTGAGACTAAAATAATGCCTATTTCAGTAGCAGGGAAGTACTACCGTCCTGCCAGATGACTGTGAAACAGAAACCTGTAACTGTTTTACATGATGGTAGGATTGCTGGTGTCTTTTTCTGTCTCATAAACACACTAGATAACAGGGATATCTTGCTACTCCTACTTACACTTTGGTCACACTTCACAGACACGCACATGCATATATATATATATATGCATACATCTAGGTTTTTCTCATTTTTCTTCTATTGTCCATGGGGAAGCAGAAAAGAATCTTTCCTCCGTAAGCCATGCGTGTCGTATGAGACGACTAAAATGCCGGGAGCAATGGGCTAGTAACCCCTTCTCCTGTAAACATTTACTAAAAAAGAGAAGAAAAACTTTAGAAAACTGGGATGCTTGAATGTGCATGGATGTAGTGCGGATGACAAGAAACAGATGATTGCTGATGTTATGAATGAAAAGAAGTTGGATGTCCTGGCCCTAAGTGAAAAAAGTGAAGGGGGTAAGGGGGGTTTCGGTGGGGGGGAAAAAAATGGGATTAAATCTGGAGTATCTGAGAGAGTTAGAGCTAAGGAAGGGGTAGCAATAATGTTGAAGGATCAGTTATAGAAGGAGAAAAGAGAATATGAATGTGTAAATTCAAGGATTATGTGGATTAAAGTAAAGGTTGGATGCGAAAAGTGGGTCATAATAAGCGTGTATGCACCTGGAGAAGAGAGGAATGTAGAGGAGAGAGAGATGTTGGGAGATGTTAAGTGAATGCATAGGAACTTTGAACCAAGTGAGAGAGTAATTGTGGTAGGGGACCTGAATGCTAAAGTAGGAGAAACATTTAGAGAGGTGTGGTAGGTAAGTTTGGGGTGCCAGGTGTAAACGATAATGGGAGCCCTTTGATTGAACTTTGTATAGAAAGGGGTTTAGTTACAGGTAACACATATTTTAAGAAAAAGAGGATAAATAAGTATACAAGATAAGATGTAGGGCAAAATGACAGTAGTTTGTTGGATTGTGTATTGGTAGATAAAAGACTGTTGAGTAGACTTCAGGATGTACATGTTTATAGAGGGGCCACAGATGTATCATCACTTTTTAGTTGTAGCTACACTGAGAGCAAAAGGTAGATGGGATACAAGGAGAATAGAAGCATCAGGGAAGAGAGAGGTGAAGGTTTATAAACTAAAAGAGGAGGCAGTTAGGGTAAGATATAAACAGCTATTGGAGGATAGATGGGCTAATGAGAGCATAGGCAATGGGGTAGGTTTAAAAATGTAGTGTTAGAGTGTTCAGCAGAAGTTTGTGGTTACAGGAAAGTGGGTGTGGGAGGGAAGAGGAGCGATGTAAGAGGGTAGTAAGGGAGAAAGAGTTAGCATATGAGAAGTGATGCAAGGAGGGAAGAGTATATGGACAAAAAGAGAGAGGTTAAGAGAGTGGTGAAGCAATGTAAAAAGAGAGCAAATGAGAGAGTGGGTGAGATGTTATCAACAAATTTTGTTGAAAATAAGAAAAAGTTTTGGAGTGAGATTAACAAGTTAAGGGAGCCTAGAGAACAAATGGATTTGTCAGTTAAAAATAGGAGAGGAGAGTTATTAAATGGAGAGTTAGAGGTATTGGGAAGATGGGGGGAATATTTTGAGGAATTGTTAAATGTTGATGAAGATAGAGAAGCTGTGATTTCATGTATAGGGCAAGGAAGAATAATATCTTGTAGGAGTGAGGAAGAGCCAGTTTTGAGTGTGGGGGAAGTTCGTGAGGCAGTAGGCAAAATGAAACGGGGTAAGGCAGCTGGGATTGATGGGATAAAGATAATGTTAAAAGCAGGTGGGGATATAGTTTTGGAGTGGTTGGTGCTATTATTTAATAAATGTATGGAAGAGGGTAAGGTACCTAGGGATTGGCAGAGAGCATGCATAGTTCCTTTGTATAAAGGCAAAGGGGACAAAAGAGAGAGTGCAAAAATTATAGGGGAATAAGTCTGTTGAGTATACCTGGTAAAGTGTATGGTAGAGTTATTATTGAAAGAATTAAGAGTAAGACGGAGAATAGGATAGGAGATGAACAAGGAGGCTTTAGGAAAGGTAGGGGGTGTGTGGACCAGGTGTTTACAGTGAAACATGTAAGTGAACAGTATTTGGATAAGGCTAAAGAGGTTTTTGTGGCATTTTCTTGATTTGGAAAAGGCGTATGACAGGGTGGATAGGGGGGCAATGTGACAGATGTTGCAGGTGTATGATATAGGAGGTAGGTTACTGAAAGCAGTGAAGAGTTTTTACAAGGATAGTGAGGCTCAAGTTAGAGTATGTAGGAAAGAGGGAGATTATTTCCCAGTAAAAGTAGGCCTTAGACAAGGATGTGTGATGTCACTGTGGTTGTTTAATATATTTATAGATGGGGTTGTAAGAGAAGTAAATGCGAGGGTCTTGGCAAGAGGCATGGAGTTAAAAGATAAAGAATCACACATAAAGTGGGAGCTGTCACAGTTGCTCTTTGCTGATGACACTGTGCTCTTGGGAGGTTCTGAAGAGAAGTTGCAGAGGTTGGTGGATGAATTTGGTAGAGTATGTAAAAGAAGAAAATTAAAAGTGAATACAGGAAAGAGTAAGGTTATGAGGATAACAAAAAGATTAGGTGATGAAAGACTGGATATCAGATTGGAGGGAGAGACTCTGGAGGAGGTGAATGTATTCAAATATTTGGGAGTGGATGTGTCAGCGGATGGGTCTATGAAAGATGAGGTGAATCATAGAATTGATGAGGGGAAAAGGGTGAGTGGAGTCTGTGGAGACAAAGAACTTTGTCCTTGGAGGCAAAGAGGGGAATATATGAGAGTATAGTTTTACCAATGCTCTTATATGAGTGTGAAGCATGGGTGATGAATGTTGCAGTGAGAAGAAGGCTGGAGGCAGTGGAGATGTCATGTCAGGGCAATGTGTGGTGTGAATATAATGCAGAGAATTCGTAGTTTGGAAGTTAGGAGGAGGTGCGGGATTACCAAAACTGTTGTTTAGAGGGTTGAGAAAGGGCTGTTGAGGTGGTTCGGACATGTAGAGAGAATGGAGCGAAGCAGAATGACTTCAAGAGTGTATCAGTCTGTAGTGGAGGGAAGGCAGGGTAGGGGTTGGCCTAGGAAAGGTTGGAGGGAGGGGGTAAAGGAGGTTTTGTGTGCGAGGGGCTTGGACTTCCAGCGGGCATGCGTGAGCCTGCTTGATAGGAGTGAATGGAGACAAATGGTTTTTAATACTTGACGTGTTGTTGGAGTGTGAGCAAAGCAACATTTATGAAGGGATTCAGGGAAACCAGCATGCCAGACTTGAGTCCTGGAGATGGGAAGTACAGTGCCTGCACTCTGAAGGAGGGGCGTTAATATTGCAGTTTAAAAACTGTAGTGTAAAGCACCCTTCTGGCAAGACAGTGATGGAGTGAATGATGGTGAAAGTTTTTCTTTTTCAGGCCACCCTGCCTTGGTGGGAATCAGCCAGTGTGTTAATAAATAAAATAAATATTCTATTATATAAAATGATACGAAGAAACGGCCAATAAAACCATAAAAACTATCTAGAAAACACTTTGACTTTGCTGTTTTAACCCTTAAACTGTCCACACATAGATCTACGTTCACTCACGTAGCACATAAGAAAGCATGTAAAATCGAGCATAGATCTACGTTCGGAGCGCTATGCGAGTGAACATAGGTCTACGTTTGGACAGTTTAAGGGTTAAACCAAACACAAGGTCAGTTTTGCTTTTCCCATTATGCACCACATGGGGCAGAATTTCCTGTATACTGTGTACACTCACTGCAGACTCAATCTCTCATATCTAAGCCAAAATTTACCACTCACAGCTTATCTGAAGGAGGTGTGCTCAAAATGTAGATCAACATGAGAGACTCTGGCATCACTAATACAGATTTATGTTATGGATAGTTATTATTAAAATCATATTTTAATCCTAGAGGGACTAGTACCGAACTTGCACACGAAAATCACTCACTACGAAAGCAAAAGACTTGGCAGACGATGCACCATCCCCCCAATGAAAAGCAGGGGTGTCACTAGCACGTTAAGAGACCATACAATAAGTGTCAGGGGCCCGAGACTGTTCAACTGCCTCCCAGCACACATAAGAGGGATTACCAACAGACCCCTGGCAGTCTTCAAGCTGGCACTGGACAAGCACCTAAAGTCAGTTCCTGATCAGCCGGGCTGTGGCTCGTACGTTGGTTTGCGTGCAGCCAGCAGCAACAGCCTGGTTGATCAGGCTCTGATCCACCAGGAGGCCTGGTCACAGACCGGGCCGCGGGGGCGTTGACCCCCGGAACTCTCTCCAGGTAAACTCCAGGTAAACACTAAACCCGTAGTATTATACAGCGCCTGTGGGGGGATGTGGAAGGCATTCAGGTTTAATTCAGGGAACTGGAGCACAGATCCAATTCCCTAGATCAAGAGCCCCTCACCAGCATCAAGGAACCTTCCTTGAGGGGTGTTATGGATAGTGAATAGCTTAAATTAGTGTTGCTCCATTCAGCCAAGTAAACCCAGCCTATGGCCAGAAATATATGTAAACTGCACCTTAGGTAACTTTTTTGAAGACATAAAATACTGAAAACATTATAAAAATTTATAATAATACTTTAGTGTATATTTACCTTTGTACATATCCTAAGAAACTGGTTCTGAAGTAGATAAAAATGAGGGTTTTCTTTCCATTCATTGCAAACTCTTAACTTGGAAAATATACATTACATAATTTGGGCTTGCCTCTACATTTTATGAATTATTATTATTATAATAAAAAAGAAGCGCTAAGCCACAAGGGCTATACAGCGAACATTTTATGAAGTAACCTAATGGAGTTTATATGGAAACTATAAATTATTATGTGGCCCAGACACAATCCGAAAATTAAATGCTAAACAAAAAGCACTACTTATTAATTATATATGGTAAGGATATGTCAAAAGTTGTATACTGTACTTTTCATTTTTATTATTACTCATAAATATAATGTTCTGCAACAAAAATAACACAAAAGTTTTTAAAATTGAATTAGCAGATAGTCAAATATTGTGTACTGCACATTCATTTAAAATGTGGTATTATTGCAGTTTAGTTTATAAAACTAACTTAACTTGATTTTGTTCAATAAATGTTCATATAGTGCACAGTACTGTAAACAAACTGATATGCCAATAAATAGATCATGTAATGCCTAAGTGATATTACTGCATGACTAACTTGATGCACTGCAAAATTAGCAATTTTCCTTGCAAGCATAATCAATAAGTTAATTTATAGTAAGTGCATAAATATTTTTCACTGTTTTCCTACCATACAATGGATTGCATAGTATGGTAACAAAAAATAATTCATTTTTTTTGTAAATCTGAAAAATGCTTTACATTCATACCATACTTTACTTTCAATAAAATATTACCTGGAAAGAAGCCCCCCTCTTGTGTTAAAGTTTAAAATCTTGATATAAGGTTTTACCTTATAAAAAAGTTGGCCATTATATGCATAAACTCTTAACACATATACAGTACTAATGTAATACATTACACAGAACTAGAGTAACTATTATTATGGACACAATAAAATTGTGTTTTCTGTAAAACAGAGCAGCATGACACATAAACAAAATATGGTAGCTACTGGTAATTTGTATATACTGTACTTTAATACTCACCACTGCTGGAAAACTAAAAGGGATGGTTACTATGCATATTTCATACCCTTTGTCAAGCTATATATTTGTAATTTAACTTATTCTGCTTGGGTGTTCTAACTATTTGTGATGTCCTAAACAAATCTACTAGGTATGCTCAGACTTTTCTTTGGTATCATAAGTGGGGTCATCAAAATTAATCCCAAAGTATCCTGACTTTCATATATGCTGAAGCAAATGTTTTAACTTGTTTTATCTCTCACCAAAGAGAAGACAGTGCCTCCCCTTCCCCCCCCCCCAAGATGAGTTTAGGTTTTTCAGGCTAAATGGTATATCCCACTCCTCTGACCTGTTAATGCATAGAGCATGACACAATGATGATTATCCTTCTTGTGCCTCAAGTGTTCTCTGTGTTTTGTGCAGTAACCGTTAACAGTGTTTAAGATTGTGCTGCACACAATGTCTATAAGTGTGCAAATGACCACACCATGTGGTGTGCAAACTAGTGCTAACAATTCTTACTTTCCTAAACTGATGGTATATGTATAGAGGATGTTTGACCATTTACATCATTTTCATTTTACCGCAAGGATACTGATTTTGAAGATTTCAATTACGTACTTTGCACTACATCACAGCATACATGAAGAGGGTCTTTTGCATTACATTTTAGTGAACTCAAGCTGATAAGAAAAATACAAATTTAATATGAAATCATATATGATAAAAAATCTATATACAGTACAGTATATATATATATATATATAAAAAAATATTTGGAAGGTCAGGTAGTCACAGTTGAGTTTCTTCAAAAGATTATTCATTTAAATTACACTATATTTAAGGAATGTTTTTACAATAAACTGAATAGGTTGTAGCAAGGCCTAATTTTCTTAGTTTTCCCAATAATTTTTGATAAATAAAAAATCACTAGTGTAAATATTTCCACAACTAGCTTTGAGAATCCGTGATAAAAACCTATTATGTATTCTGCATACTGGATGTAATAACTTAGTTAACATATGTGGCTTACAATACCCAAAGTTCACAATATATTCCAGTGTCAAAACCAAATAATACTTACATCCATTTTATTTCAATAGTTGCATAAATTTCCTTATCTTCAGCAGGTACCTCAAAGTTACAAAGTTTTCTGCAAGCACTTATAACTTGTTAAGTTTTTGAAACTGTACACAATGAAAGACTAGCATTTATTAATTGCAATAGACCTTTAAAATATAAAGCAAATCAATTCAGTTTCATCTCGTATTGCAACCATTTATTTTTTCCCCCTAAACCAACACTTGAGTATAAGAATGCTCACACTGAGTAGTCTTCTCTTCTCAGTGAGATTATATTAACTAAGATTTCTATGAACAAAATATTACTTCTTGAATGTCAAAGTGTATTTAATTGGACTATACACTTTTCAAGAACCTGTATTAGCTCACAGAGATGAGACATTCTCCTTTTCTTTTTCATTCTGAGTGGCATCGAGCCTAATTTTATTTTCGCCTGACTCTTGGAGTATGATTGTAGAGTCTTTAGGTTTGATGTCGAGAACAATGCCTACACCTTCTCCTGTATCTGGAGACACACCAGCTGAGTCACTCTCTTCCTCCTCTGGCACAGCTGCTAAGTACTCTTCATTTGTTGTGTACCGCACCTGCATCACGTAATAAAACTGGATATTATCTATTAATAACACTGTAATAATTAAATTACGTACTTAGATCAAGTTCTTTCACAAGCATGAAAAGTAAAATATAATGTAAATTCCGTAAAAGATGTACACAGGCAGTCCCCACTCAACAAAAAATGTTTATAAAGCAATTTTTTGAAAAGCGAATCACATTTATATAATAAACTTAGTTACAGAATTAAAATATGCAACAGGGGGAAAAAAAATTGGCCCTAAAACACAAGAAAAATATACCAAGAAATATAAAATACTTTGCAGTAAATGTATACAAGCAACTGAATACCATGCAATGAAAAGCTGGATCACGAGCCCCACTACTGGTATTAGCCACACATTTACCAGCAAGACCCATGTTTTTGTGGCAGGGCAATCTTCGAGTCACATAAACTGTCATGTGGGATCCAAGATGATATCCATTGCTGTAAACAAGCAATGCACAGTGCTCTGAATGCAGTTCAGCCTTCACCTTGCTTATCAAGCTCCCACTCACATGACAACTGTATCCCTTGATTATTCTGATTTCCTTGGATATCAAAAAGAATTCCTCCCATTGTAAGATTATTATTATTATAACTACTACAGTATTATTATTTATCACCATCACTATTTTTTCTTTTTGCCAAAATAGTACAGTGGACCCCCGCCTTACGATCAGCTTCCAATGCGACCAATTATGTAAGTGTATTTATGTAAGTGCTTTTGTACGTGTATTTTTGGGGGTCTGAAACGGACTAATCTAATTCACAATATTCCTTATGGGAACAAATTCATTCGGTAACGGCACCTGAACATACTTCTGGAATGAAATTATATCGTAAGGCAGGGGTCCACTGTATTTCATATTCAGAATTTGTATTACAGTGGAACTTCGGTTGTCAACCTCTTTACTTGTCGAATAAATTGGTTTCTGAACAAGAAATTCAAGAAAAAATGTCCTGATTTTCTTATGTACTCTTGGTTGTTGACTGACAACGAGAATGGTTTGGGTCATGTGCTCAATTGCCACTCATGGCCTTTTTACTTATGGATCGCAGCAGTGTTTCCAGACAGCATCGTGTGAGGGCATTTACTGTCTTCGGCTAGCATTTTTTACTGCTGAATTGTATGCCATTCTTGCAGCACCTATCTGTATTGCATCTTTGCCTGTGTCATCATTTGTGGTTGTTTCAGACTCCCTTAGTGCTTTACAGGCTATACAAAAGTTTGATACACCTCACCCCCTAGCTCTGTATGCAACTTTGGTTACGCTGTATCTCTACCAAACATAAAGATATTGTTTTTTGTTGGGTCCCTGGTCATGTTGACGTTCAGGTCAATGAACAGGCAGACACTGCTGTGCGGTCAGCAGTACATGACCTTCCAGTTTCATATAGAGGTGTTCCATTCACGGACTATTTTGCTGTTATAGCTACCCACCTTCACACCCGTTGGCAACAACACTGGTCTGCTCTGCTCAATAACAAACTTCGTTCTATTAACCCTTTCAGGGTCCAAGGCCCAAATCTGGAGTCACGCACCAGTGTCCAAGAATTTTCAAAAAAAAAATTTGTTATTTTTTCTTATGAAATCGTAGAGAATCTTTTTGTGAAGGTAATAAAACAAAAAGTACGAAATTTGGTGGAAAATTGACGAAATTATGCCCTCGCGAATTTTGATGTGTCAGCGATATTTACGAATCGGCGATTTTGCCGACTTTGACTCCGATTTTAGGCCAATTACAATATTCAAATCAACCAAATTCTTAGCTATTTCACTAGTATTACTTCTATTCTATCGATTGAGCACAAGAAATCGCCAAGTCAACTGTTTCAACTACAAAATAAAGTGATCGGAAATTGTTAATTTGGCCAATTTAACACAAAGTTCAAAATATTCCAATTTCAAAATAGGGTCCAGAATGAACAATGTAGGCATTCCTGGCACTAAACTAACATTTCCTCTGTTCATTAGTTATGTTTTGAGGCTTTACAAATAAATTCCATTTTGATTTTTTATTCACATAATGAATTTTTATTCACACCAAAAAATAGAAGATTTACTGTTATGCAATACTGTAATAATTGTATAAATATCATCACCATATTTGTGAATGTATATCAGACCCACCAGCTGACGTGTATTAGACGTGTGAGGTCGTTTGTTTACTCGTGAATATCGGCAAAAATTTAACATTTCCGCTACTTTGAGCTCAGTTTTTAAGCCATTTCCAATGCTAAAACCAATCAAAATCATCTCTATTTCTGTAATATGTCTTCCATTCTATCAAATGAGACCAAGAAATCGCAAATACAACTATAAAAAACATACGAAAAAACACTGCAAAGTTGCTGTTTTAATCGAAAAATCATGATTTCATTTTTTTTCTCTCATTATACACAGTGTGCTGCAGGATCTGTTTTATGTAGTGCACACATACCACATAGATGTATTCTCTCATATCTAGGCCCAAATGTACCACTCACAGTTTATCAGAGTGAGCTGACCTCATGGCGTAGATCTACGGTTTGGACCCTGAACGTAAAGCCGTAGATCTACGGGACGGACCCTGAAAGGGTTAAACTGAGTATAGGTTACTGGCCGTCTTCTTGTCATCAGTGTCGAGGTTGGGAGACTACTCTCTCCTGCCTTCGCATTGGCCACACTCGTCTTACTCGTGGATATCACATGGAGAGGCGCCCTGCTCCTCTCTGTGAGAATTGTCATGTTCCAGTATCGGTCAGCCACATTCTGTTAGACTGCCCACTTTATCAGTGAGCACGCAGAATTTACCTCCAACGTCGTCTTCGCTCTGCTGCTCTCTTTCTTTACCTTCCCTTCTTGCTGATGGACCCACCTTTCATATGGACTCTCTGACTGACTTTTTGACAACAACTGACTTACTCCACAAACTCCGATGATGATACCTTGAGCCCTTTCTACCTCAATCTCTTGCTACCCTCTACCCCCCCCCCCCACTATCCCCTGCCCCACTGTTTTCTATAACCTACTAATCATCCCTTTCCCCTTCTGCCGCCCGATACCCTCGCTTCCTTCCCTGCAGCGCTGTATAGCCCTTGTGGTTTACCGCTTCTTTTTTATTATAATAATAATTTACTTATGGATATTGCTCCTACTCACTGTCCAAGCTTGGAAAATAAGTTGTTGGAGGAGTTCAGCTTTATAACTGTTAAGTTAAAGGACACAAGTGCAACTAATGTGACATTTTATTGTGGCAACGTTTCGCTCTCCAGGAGCTTTATCAAGCCATTACAAACAATACATGGACACAGAGGGTATATAAAGGCTCAGAGTGAGGTGCAATATTAGTGAGGTACCATATCGATGTTCACTAGTGGTAGTAGTAGTAGTAGTAGTAGTGACAAAAATAATACAATATGGCAGAGCAAATAATTCGTACATGAGTAGAAGGATATAAAAGCTATTACTTGGGTAACATAAAAATAGGTTGGACAAATATAGACTGGAAAGAGGCAGGTAGTTTCAGTGTCCACTCTCTGTAATGTGCCTTGTGTAGTATAACAGGAGAGACTATGTGATGGCAGGGTTTACTGTTTTCAGGAGGATTCTTGCTAAGACTTCGGAGATGGTGAAGCTGCCGTTGTTTTGTTTAATTGTATTTGAAACAGCGATCAGTGCTGATTCGAGGCACTTGCGTCTGCGGAAATTAGTTTCTTTAATCACTAATTGGGTGTCTCTAAATTTCATGAGATGATTGGTGGAATTTCGGTTGTCTATGTTCCCCATCAGTAAAATGGGTACCTGGGTGTTAGTCGACTGGTGTGGGTCGCATCCTGGGACACTGACCTAATTTGCCCGAAATGCAGAGCATAACAAGGGAGTTTCTATATAGTAGTATGTCATTGTTGTCAGCTAGGACTGTATACCTTGTACATGTACTTGTAGTAAATAAAGATATTATTATTATTATTATTATTATTATTATACATGCGTAAATGTGTTCATCGAGGTGGGTGTCGAGGGTTCTTGCTGTTTCACCTACGTAGATCTTGTCACAGCCTCCACAGGGTATAGTGTAAACTCCTGCATTGACTGGTTCGTGGTGCTTGGATTTTGTCCTGGTTAGATCCTTTATTGAAGTGCTAGAAGCGATGGCGACTCTGGTGTTAGCATGTGAAAGTACTTTTGAGACGTTTAGTGCAACCTGGCTGTTGGGAAGAATTATAACTTTGTTGGGAGTGGTGTTGATGCATGGAGAATTAATGATCTGAAGAGCTCTTTTCTTGCAGTCTTTGATGAAAAAAGAAGGAAAATGTACTCAGTGAATGTTTGGTGAATGTATGTACATTCCTCGTCAAGAAACTCAGGACTACAAATTTGGTATGCTCTTAGGAAAAACCCGATGATGATGCCTCTTTTGGTCTTGGTATTTTGACTGGAATAGAAGTGTGTGAGATCATTTTTATTGGTGGGTTTCCGATAAACTTGAAATCTTAGGTTGTTGTCTACTTTGTGAATGAGGACGTCGAGGAAAGGTAGCTTGTCATTTGACTCTTCTTCTAGTGTAAACTGGATCGCCGGTTCAACTGCGTTGAGCCTTGCCTGAAGATTCCGTACATCAAAACGTTTGGGAGTTATTACGAGGACGTTGTCCACGTAACGTAACCAAGTGACGCTTGAAGGGATGATGTTGGCGAAGTGTTCGGACTCTAGGTGTTCCATGTATAAGTTGGCTAGGATGGCACTGATGGGGGACCCCATTCCCATGCCGAAGGTTTGTTTGTAGAGCTTGTTATTGAAAGAAAAACAGTTGAAATTAACGTCAGGAATAGGCAGTGCTCCACACAAACTAGCCGGAGTTCTTGCTAAACATCTTTCCTGCCTTCTGGGGACCATCAGCCCCGCTCATCTTAAACACTCAGGCGACCTTCTCAACCGCATCCGAAACCTCTCCATCCGTAACAAGAAACTAAGCAGTTTGGACATGACTTCCCTCTTCACAAAAG